TGAAAGGGAGGCACAGACAGTTTTTTATTTGAAAGACCTTTCGGATCCCGGTTAAATAGATACTAAAATTGCAAAGTAACAACACTGGAGGCTGAAATTATACCACATATATTTGTTTTATGGACAGCTGTGGAACATGCTCTGCATATTACCCTGCAAAATATTTGTCTCATTTAAACTAGAGATCGACCGATCCAATATTACGTATCGGTATCGGTCCGATACTGACCTAAATTACTGGATCGGATATCGGAGAAAAATAAAAAAATGTAATCCGATCCATTAAATATCACGAAAGCACCTCACAAAACTTGCAACACGCCGTAACTCGCCTCAGAACGTTAGCACGTCGGAGCAGTATGCATCACGTGATAGAGCGGCTGTGGCATGCGGGACCTGTCGGTGGTCTGGATAGCATGTGGAGCTTCGCTAGCAACCCGGCATTTCATCTCCGACAAAGTTATCCCCGAGAGAAGTAAAGCAAGTGTGTAAGTCCATCTCTGAATGTTTGTAAAGCATTCCTGCGTTAAGCTTAACAACCGATATATGGAGCAACTGCCTCTTCTTGCTGCTACTTCAATCAGTCCGTCGCGAGTCCGTCTCTCTTGTTTGTTTTTGGCCCACTTTGCACCAGAAAGAGGAAACCAGCGGATAAACAACAGCAGCACGTTTAAGCTTGATAAGCTGTTGTTAGAATTTATTTAATATTTCTTTCTACACCAGGATCTTTTTCTACGTAGCTGACGCTGGTAACTGTGCAAGGGCGGATATAGCAAAGTTTAGTCAGGGAGGCCGATAGGGCATTAACAGGGAAAAGGGGAGCAGAAAGACATACTTTTCTTTCTTATTCTCATTTAAAATGTCTAGCTTTTAATAAATAATTATCTGACACCCAAAGTTTTAATTTGATGCAAAATGAATAGAAGTCAATTACTGTATATAGTAACTATTAAGTCTAATATATATGATCAGTATGATCAGTATTGCTGAACTATGAAATATTTTTTTTTGCATACCGTTATAACAGAATAGCTTTAGTGTAGTTGTTGTTTTAAACTTGAGTATGAACTTATACAAAATGCAGCAAGATATTTAAAAAAAACAGTTTTGTTGAAACACACTATATCGGATTCATATCGGTATCGGCAGATATCCAAATTTATGATATCGGTATCGGACATAAAAAAGTGGTATCGTGCCATCTCTAATTTAAACCAACTGCAATCCTCTTCCAACTGTAACAGCCCCAACCTCAAGGATAATTATAAAGTTATAGTGAAGTTTCAGGCAGTGTGAAGATTTATTTATTTTTTTTGTCTCTTGTACGCCTTGAATGTGAACAGTTTTAAGTTAAATAAAAACAACAAAACACACACATAAAACACAACTACCCACAGCCATTCACTGCTAAGGGTTTGTAGATCTCCTAAACAAACCCTGAGCTGTATCAAGAGGCTCAGCCGAGGTCCAATCTGACATTTATCTCTCGGGCCATTCTGCTGATGGCTGCACGACATCGCTTTAGGAAGCAGCTGTTTACTGTCAGAGATCTAGGTCAGGACAGAGACGCAGAGCTGGACACTGCTAGCAGACTATATGGCCTCTCGTGCATCTGTAATGGCCTCTAAAGGATACAGAAGGGGGGTGGACGTGGTCACATCAGAGGAGCGGCAGATATTGGAGTACATGATAAAGTAAAAACATTCAGTCAAAGGCCAATAAACAATGAAAACTTAAAATCATCCAGTTCTAACAAAGCGCATTATAAAAGTAAAGAAAAAAGCTTACAACCAGTCAGAAAAGGGCAAAATCTACTGTACGTGCTTTCAGTCAAGTCCTCAGCTGATGCCATTTTTCCATTCAATAAGAAATTGAAAGAAATAATTTTATGATGGCACAATATTATCCTTCCAAATGATAATTAAACCTACTCAGAACACCAGAGCTAATTGCTGTTAAAAGGTATATAAATTTAATTTATTATTTCCAATTATAAGATTAAACTTTTATTGTATTTACAGTGTTGTTAGTGAAGTATTTGATATCTTGGGCACTGAAATTCCTGTTACAGTTAAATTGAGAATCAGCTTAAGAAGATTTGAATAATCCTTGTCTTTTTTTCTTTTTTTTTTCCTTTTTTTTTTTGCCTGTCACGTTTGGCTCTTTTGCCATCAGAATTATTGTCTAAAGGCAAAGAAAGATGCCCAACAGATTTACTTTACCAAATTGACCATCCCAGCCTTGCCGTAATGGTCCATTTGATTCACCTTTTATTGTTTATTTTATTTTCACTTGCTGAATACGGGACAGACTTGACTGGGGAAAGAAGGGGAGAAAGAAAGAGGGAAAGAGAAACAGCTGAGAAGAGGGATGGGGGAGAAGGGCAAAAAACAAAAACCAACAGAATGGGCAGAAGAAAAAAAAAAGAAAAAAAATGCATATATCGATCACCTGGATCACCTGTTGAGAAAGAAAAAAAGAGAACAAGCAGAAGAGAACAAGAGTAATAGAATAAACAACATCACAATGATATATGGGAATATGACAGTATTCCCATATAAGGATTGAATAATCCTTGTCAATGTCATCTATGATCAAAGAGTAGGATTACAAGTTCCAGGTATTTACTTATTTACTATGAAGTACTGCGTGAGATATTATAGCATCTCACTCACAAATTGACCTGAATACTTATAGATATGTATGCAAAAATTATTATTTTTTAAAAACTAGAGATGGCACGATACCACTTTTTTATGTCCGATACCGATATCATAAATTTGGATATCTGCCGATACTGATACGAATAGTGTGTTTTTTAATCAATAAAACTGTTTTTTTATTATCTTGCTGCCTTTTGTATAAGTTCATACTCAAGTTTAAATAAACAACAACACTAAAGCTATTCTGTTATACCTGTATGTAAAAAATACACTGCACCCAAAATATTTCATAGTTCAGCAATACTGATCAAACTAATAACCTTAAACCTACTCCATCCTTCCTATTCTGGTATTTTAAAGAGTACTTAGCAGAAATATTAAGCAACCTAACTAATAGGGTTGCAAACTCCCAGCAAAAAAAATAGGGAACCACCCTCCACCTCATGATGCTTAATCGATGTAATCAACTTTAATTTGATGCAGTGTGGGGGAAAAAATGCACAGAAATAAATTATTTTTCAAGAATAATTAAATAGATTCAACGTCTTTCTTCAACAGAATTGCAGACTGCACAGATGGTATCTTCCCAAAGGAAAAAGTACTAGCTTACTAGGGTTTATTAGACTTAATAGTCACTATATACAGTAATGGACTTCTATTCATTTTACATCAGATTAAAACTTTGGGTATAAGATTCAGATAATTATTTATTTAAAAATGAGAATAAGAAAGAAAAGTATGTCTTTGTGCCCCCTTTTTCCATGTTAATGCCCTATCGGCAGTGTTGGGAAGGTTACTTTTAAAATGTATTCCATTACAGATTACAGAATACATGCCCCAAAATGTATTCTGTAACGTATTCCGTTACGTTACTCAATGAGAGTAATGTATTCTAAATACTTTGGATTACTTAATATATTATCATGCTTTTTACAACTACGTGAATGTACTATTGCTGTGATTTATTACTGTTACTGAAGGTCCGCGGCTCCGAACTGGACCTCTGACTAATACGGCGGATTCTGTGTCGGGCTCGTAGCCGAAAAATAGCTTTACTTTGTTGTGTCGGTCAACTTTGCTTGCGAGAGACAAAGAGAGGCGTTGAAAGGCTGCTCCAATGGAACTTATTGTTTCATACTTTTCCACTCGCCTTTTTCTCCCTTCTCGCGCTCACAGACACATAACGGGTATGGCACTCCATTCTCCCTGCAGCACGGACTACACTGCCCATGATGCTACATTCTTTAGAGCTATACCTGTAGCATTCTGCCTATTAGCTTAGCACAACAACAAAAAGGCGCTCTCTCACCCAGGAAACACGCAGAGAGAGAGCGTCACCCTGTAACCATGGCAACCGCAACGCTGCCACCTGTAACAACAGAACGTAGCTGTCAAACAAAACCCAAACAGTCCTGACCCGCGACAATATGAAACCGGAAAGTACTGCGGTGTAATCCATTTATTTCAACAAAGTAACTGTATTCTAAATACCACCTTTTTAAACAGTAACTGTAACGGAATACAGTTACTCATATTTTGTATTTTAAATACGTAACGGCGGTACATGTATTCCGTTACTCCCCAACACTGCCTATCGGCCCCCCTGGCTAAACTTTGCTATATCCGCCCCTGCACAGTTACCAACCGTCAGCTACGTAGAAAAGGATCCTGGTGTAGAAAGAAATATTAAATAAATTCTAACAACAGCTTATCAAGGTTAAACATGCTGCTGTTGTTTAGCCGCTGGTTTCCTCTTTCTGGTGCAAAGTGGGCCAAAAACAAACAAGAGAGACGGACTCGCGACAGAAAAGCTGATCAGCTGATCATTAATCAGTTTCATGATTGAAGTAGCAGCAGGAGAGGGAGCGAGAGAGACAGTCAGAGGCAGTCGCTCCATATATCGGTTGTTAAGCTTAATGCTTTACAAACATTCAGAGATGAACTTACACACTTGCTTTACTTCTCTCTGGGATAACTTCCTCGGAGATTAAATGCTGGTTTGGTAGCAAGGCTACAAATACACACAGCCCACGTGATGCATACTGCTGCGACGTGCTACGGTTACGAGCCGAGTTATGCCGTGTCACAAGTTTTGTGAGGTGCTTTTTTGATATTTAATGGATCGGATTACATTTTTTATTTCTCTCCAATATCCGATCCAGCAATTTACGTCAGTATCGGACCAACACGTAATATCGGATCGGTCCATCTCTAAAAAAAACCTAAAACTTGCATCTTCAAAACACATGAGTAATTATTTATGCTCCTATCAGCAGTGTTTTTTTCCAATAATTTTAAAAACAAAATGTTGAAAGTGATTCAATAAATAATCTGTCATTTTCCATTAAAGTCATTTTTAATGTCAGATTATGTACATCTACTTTTCTCTGTCTACATTTCATTTCTGCATTAGCAGCAGTAAAACAAACTGTTTATACATTTGTTGGCAGATGGCTATCAGTCAAAGACCTAATTTACTTCAACCACTGCTTCTGCTGCTGTGGATTAAGGCAGATGACTTTAGATGAGATTAGGACCCCCGTGGAAATGCAGAGGAAACAAGAAGCTTACAGCAAATGAGGCAACTTAACTGACCATTGCAATATTTTGTGAAGTTAACAATACAATGCCACTACTTTGTTTTACAAAATGAAAGCGAGTTGTACTTTCTAAAAGGCATGTCAGCGAGAGAAAAAATGTGCGCAAATTATCACAAAATCAGGAGACAGATGCAGACTTTTCAATTTCAGAAAATTCAAAACTGTGGCATTTATACAATGAGTCATACCGGGGGGTACATTTTTGTGTCACCTGGTTATCATGCCCTTTTTTGACTGTACAAAAATGTTAGGGTGATAGTTTATGTTCTGTTAATGTGGTTTACTTTTTTTTGATCTGGAAAGTTGAGTTCAGGTATGTATTGTTTCCAGATGCTCATGAAGAAAAAACAGAATTATTTACAGTTTTATGCTGTTAAAGAACAAACGAGCTATTCATATTATCATTTGAATCACATTATTTTTGTGTTTGCAGTTGGCATGAATTCACAGTACAGTAAGTGTTTACTGTACGTCTGGTGTTAACAATGGATCCAATGGGGCTCTTATACCCGCCCACTGCCCATTAACCCTTCCCCAACCCTCAGGCTCATCTACTGACTGCTGACACAGCCATTACTCACCAGTTTAAAGCAGCTCTTTGGCTGCGTAGCTCAGCAGGCTTGGTGAGATTTTGGGGACGAGGGTGCTGCATGATCGTTTGGGAGGAGGTGGCTCACTGCAAAGGGTCAAGCTGATGGGTAGCTGGGATTACCACTGACACACCATCTGTCACCCAAATGTTGTGATAATCAGAGTGAGGAAATCAGTACCCTGACTAAATATCATAGACATGTAAGCTCTTTTAACCTAGAGTAAAGGCCAATTTTCACAGTGCCTTGCTGATGCGCAGAAGGAACACGGCTGATAACTGATTCTCAGAATTGTTAGAACTTTATCCTATCCTGAATTTTGAAATGGACCCATCCAGCTACAGTAAATCCCAGATAAATCCAGCAATAACTTCAATTGTTTCTGCTGTATTAAGAACTCAAAATACCCACACAACATGTCATTACATCATACAGGATAGTCTAAACAATATGACCAATAATGGTCAGATTTATCTCTGGAGAACACAGATGCTGCTCTGTATGAGTCATCCAAACAACATCCAAACAAAGCTTATGGCTGGAAATTCAAACAGACGCACATGTTTCCCGCTTTTAACTCCTGCACCATATTGTTATCTAATCGGCTCTGTTGTAATTAAAATTCAATCAACATCCTGTCTTTTAGACATATTACCTTCAAACATTCAAATCTCCAACTCTTAATCCTAAAGACAACAAAGACTTTTCATGCAGCCACATGTGTCATAAAGAAGCCTTTTGTGTTATGCCATATTAGCTTCTATGTAACCAATATGGTCTTCCACAAGCAGAGGATGGGAGATCCTGGCTGATGTAGCAAGAGGCGACAATCCTCTGAGGTCAGTGCAGTGGGCATTTATTGTTCTGTTGTTGAATGTGATGCTTCCGAGAGGCGTCAGTGGAGGATTAGCGATCGCTGGCACATGTCAGGGAGTGAGAGTGTGGACCAGAGCGTGCAGGACAGGCCAGGCGTCATGGGGCTCTGAGCCTCCTGACACAAGGCTGAGCATGCTCTTCACTGAGGAGGGGGCAGCTTGTCTTCAAATGTGTGAAACAACACACACCCTGGACTTTTTCCACTTCTCACAATCTCATGTAAGCAACTGAAATGACTCTGAAAATAGAGCAAATGATAGCTGCTTCAGTGCACATTTGATATTTACTCCAGAGAAAACAGAACAGAATGAAACACAAAAGGGAATAAACTAAATAGTACTTAATCAAGGAACTGAGAATGCTGGGAGATAAAGGACAAATATAAATAATACAACCAATGATTAAAAGAAGCAAAACCCAAACAGTCCAAAGCCCATGGCACCATGAAGGTCCAGGATGTACCCTGCTTCTCACCCTGTGGCAGCTGGGATAGGACCACATCACCACTACCCTGAACTGGATAAGTAGGGACAAAATAGATAGATGGATGGTAACTAATAGTATTCGTCCATTTTTATTCAACTTCACTGATTCTGTAGTTTAAGTCTACCTGCTACACAATGATCTCATAATCTGCTGAAACCCTTTAGAAATTGCATTATTGCCATTTCATGCATTATATGTATATATCACATGTCTGTCTGAAAACAAAAATTAAATATAAATAAATATTTTAATTTTAACTTCATAGGCCTGACACAATTAGAAAAAAAACTCCTTTCTTCATCTTGGAATTGCACAGCCAGTGTCCTCAGCCGTTTACAACAAAGTCAAGCCGCTGCCGTGTAATCAGAACGGGAACTCGAGCTGTCCCTCACCAGGTCGCTGTGGCCCCACTCATTATCTTATCACCTATTGTAACCCACTGTAATTCCCCTGCTCATGATTGATGATGTCGCTGTCTGATTACACCAAGACAAAAAACCCCTAAGATCACCTTTCACTCCAGTGGCCAACTCCAAGAGTTCCATGAGGTCTGCTGGAAGGATGATGGACCAGGAGCTGTGCAGCCATGTTGAGCTTCTGTCAATGACACATCAGGTTTTTATAAACTCTGAACAAGAATCAGCACTCTGCTGTAAAACAGTTCATGACATTCTTTTACCGACGTAATTAAAGACTATTACCTAATGGACAAAAGTCGCACTGACTTGGGGTGAAAGTAATTACATTTTGGTTAGACTGTCTCATGTTTGATTGATATGGATGGTAATTTTCTAGATGTACCTCACAAGACACTGATCAGTGTGCTTCTGATAAGGAGCACCGTGTGGTGCTGCACAGAATGAAGTAAGAAAGCCTCGGTATAAAACATTTAGACTGAAGGCTTCTCTGCTACAGATCATGTCCCTGGCCTGCCTCGAACAAATCAGATAGGTAACCTGTGCTCTTTTTAAAAGAGACAGTGAGCCTCATCTCTCCATGCGGCAGGTGGAGACAGATGCCTCATTATCTATACCACAGGGGACAAAACAAGCCTGGGACCTGACGGCCCCCCCCCACTGGCATTTAGTTTCCAGTGCGCTGACACAAGGAAACCCTGGACCATCGCCGGGCAGCGCTCATCTCTGACCTCAGTGAGTGTAGGTCGCTCGCAGAGTCACATTAAACTTTCAGAGGACCCAAAGGTCCCCATCAGGAGTGTTAACAGCAGCATTGTCCCAGGTCCCCCTGACTCAAATGGCCAAGTGTAACAAGGCACCCCCTCCAGTGGTCAGGACTGCATCACCCCCCGGCCTGGGTCCGTAGATACAGTGACACCCTTCAGCTCCATCTGCAGCTCCTTTGACTCACATAAAGCGGCAGAGACAGGAGATTCAAGAGCATGCTATGTTACTTATAACATGTATGTAACTTTGTAATTTTAACATGTTGTCGCCTCTTGGCCAGGACTCCCTTGAAAAAGAGGTTTTTAATCTCAATGGGACTTTTCCTGGTAAAATAAAGGTTAATAATAATAATGCTCCTTGTGTTTTACGAGCTGCACTGACACTCTACACCTATGGAAGACATTTGATGGCTTGGACTCCAGCGAGTAATGAGTGAGGGCAGGTGTGGGATCAGCCTGAAAAGATAGAATTCACACTGAGGCAGCTGATCACATTAAAGGTGAGGTTCACCTGAGCAGGGTGCCAACTAAAACTTAATAAACACATCCTTCCTATCTTCTCGCTTTGGCTTTTGGGGGTTTTACTTTAATCATCATTTAAAAGGTGTTTTCTAAACACCCTTGTAAGTAAATGCAGTTTTAATCTAGATTTTTTATTTTTTTATACTTTTATGCTTAGCTTCAAAACGTCTCTTAAAATATAATTTATAAAAATTCTGGAATTTTCCTGCTATTTCTTTTTTTTTTGGGGGGGGGGGGGGGGGGGGGGGGGGGAGGGAACGAAAATAAATCACCTCACTGACATCTGCCAACTTTTTTGTTTGACTGTTTGTTTTCAATCCAGGATTGCCGATCATATTATTTTAAAAACAACAACGACAACATTCAAAATGAGCTTATTTTGTAGAAACAATGAAAACACCTGCTCCAGATTTTATGACATCACTCCAACATGCAGCAGCTTGACAGCCAGAGGAAGCAGACTACTGTCCACACTGTGATGAAGGTTTTATTTATCCCTCTCAGAGTATGGAAATTTTTTATGTGAGCTATTTTTTTGATACAAATACTTTTTTTTTAAATTCACTTTTTATTTAACTCCAGACTTATTCACTCATCCAAATCATTCCAGACTGATCCGAGCTGCACAGAATAGCCAACTCTGGCAAAGGCAGTCCTCACAAATGTCACTCAATCCACAGATGCACGTATTCGGTTTTCTTTGCTCTTTCTTCATGAAATGTTGAATAAAAGAAATGTATTTGGAACATGTCTGCAACACTATGCAAAAATTATTTTTGCATGCCCTTTACATGAATGTTTGATTAAAGTTAATGATTTTAATAATAAAAGATAGACAATACCATTATGAAAACACCAATTCAGAAACTTCCTGATTAAATTTGATTAAAATTTTTTTACAAATCCCCATTGAAGTATATTTCTTCTCCATAATATGCATATTTCCTCTACCATCACGCAGCTTATATAAACAACATGAAGGAAGAGAAAAAAATCTCTTCCTTCATGTAGTTATTATGAACTGTGTGAAGGACGAAGCCTGGACTGATTTTGATTTTAAGATGATATTTCAACATTTTTTTTTTTTACCAGATTTCTGATTTCGTTTTAAAGTTCAGGCCAAAGTAGATTTGTTCTTCGTGTTTCTTTAAGCATGGACAAAGAATTCACTTTAATTCAGTATATTAATATAACGCCACACTAACAGCTGTCTCAAGGTTCTTTATATTGCAGAGTAAAGATCTTACATTGTTAGACAGAAACCCTCCAAATCAGAGCAAGCCCTTGGCAGCAGTGGGACAGAAAAACTCCCTTTCAACAGGAAGAAACCTCCAGCAAAACCACGCTCAAGGAGGGTGTGATGGGTTGGAAGGATTTGGTTTTTCCTTTGGAATATCCAGGAACTCATATCGGCCTGTGTCATATTATTGAATTATCCTCAAGAAAGGCTGTTCTGACCTTCTGTTGAGTGTTTTTATCACCAGGTGCAGAGATTTGGCTATGGCCAGTTTTTATTTTTATACATTTGTGGTTTGTTTACTCTCTGAATTAAGTTCTCTCAGCATTTGCTTAAATGATTTCTTAAATTTTCTTTTATCTTAAGTCGAAACGTCAGGACAAGGAAGCCTATAAGAATACATGTAGTAAAAACGACATTTCTACCGGTACGCCGTGTGGAAGACCTCTCTGCTGCTAGCTCAGTGATGCGAGCTCTGAACATTTCTACAATTGCTTCATCTACAGCAGCCTATCATTGAGCCAAGCTGTTATAGGCATTTCGACTTCTTTTTAAACACCTTCTTGCTAATTTCTTTGATCTTCATTAAGGCAGAGGACAGCTTTCAAGCACTTTCAGCCCCTCCATCAACTGCTTCATCAGACACTCTGTGTGGGTAGTCCATTCCTGCTAGCTCAAGTACTTGATACCATGAACAGGCTGACATATGCTGGAAATTTAATCTTAATCTTTAATCCTAATCTTTATTGTGACTCTGTTTACTATAATTACACCTGAGTCACCTGGTGTATAAACAAGAATCCCTATTCACACTGCGCTGTGTGATCTAGAGAGAGCAAGATACACACACAATCATGTATTTTGTGTTCATCTGGACTGCTTAGTTTGTATAAGGAGAAACTCTACTGGTGACACTGATGTCACTTACACAGCACACAGCTGGATGCTAAAAATGCTAAACCAAAACTGATCTGTGTTTCTAAACTGTATAAGAAATATACAAGAAATAAATAAAGAGTTAATGAATGCTTTAGGCCTGAAATATTCAATAATTTTAAATACAGCAGGTAAAATTAGTTTTGAACACGTCACCAGTTTTCTAAGTAGATGTATTTCTAAATGTGCTATCGAGATGAACTTCTCACCAGATGTCGGTAACATCCCATCCAATCCACACATGCAAAGAAATCAAACCTATATTTAATATTTTCAATACTTTTGAAAAGTATTGAAAATATATTTTTCAAAAGTTAAAGTGAACAAAGGTAAGCAAAATCAGAGGACACTAGTTAAGCTCTGTAAATGTATTTTAGTTACTTAATTACAGTTGGTGGTTACTGGATATTGGGGGCACTTAAGACTTTTTGTGGGTTGCCAAAATACCCAGAAACGCTCCAGCGACTTTATATACATCACATGTTTAACATGAGGTGAAACAGAACAAAAAAGGTTTGGTAACCACTGGTTTAATCTTTAACATGTTGTATTTTATCAGTTCACTTTTTTTCACCACATCATTCTAAACCTAAATATGAACAAGTAAATCAAAGTATTTTACTTACAGTGGTGAGTTGAAGCCTGGCTGGGTGATACTAAGGGTGTACCAGGACAGCACTGGCATCAAAGTCTCTGAACTATTCTGGCAATTATTATTATTAAATTTGCTTTTTTTCCCCCTCACACATTTATTTATATGAAAGTTTACAGCCATTAAAAAGCATGGTTAAGATTGGTCCTTTTCAGTGCAAAGGCAAGTCTACAGTGCATTCCTGACTTTAAATTTATATAGAAAAAACAAAAGCATTTCCAAAAGTTTAATGCAAAACAATAACTTAAGAAAATTAACTTTTATTCTAAATTGTAGTAGCAATGGAGTTGGCCCTGTTTTCAATCATAATCAAACTGATTAAACTCTGATGTTTATGTGAACAACGAGCCAATAAAACCATCAGCCAGTAAAATAGAGGATTTGGTGCCATCTAGTGATCTGACACTGAATCAACAGAAACTTGAACAGCACAAAATCTGGAATAATGGGATATGATCTAATTATGGCAGTTACTAAAAAAAGGGAAATATGTGTGTATATGATGCTTGTTTTTAAAATCAACAGCTGATTTCCATCTCCTCTCCTTTTTTGAGTTTTTGAACAAGTGAGACAAAAAGACTGAGAGGTGTCACTTTCGCTGCTCGGCTGTCTTGTTGAGTCGTCGCTGTAGCAGGTAGACAAACACAGCAATATTCACGAAAAACTGGATTAAACCTATAGAGGAAATGCCGTAGTTCACATACAGGAAGCCCCCTATAGTAGGTCCAACTGTGCGAAGCAGAGATTGAACAGATGCGCACAGTCCCAGCATTGTGCCTGCAAATGAGAACAAGATTAAAACTGGCAATAATTCTTTACACTATTTCACAATAGGTTCACCTGTAGTTTTCTAAACCATTTTATTTGATATTATTACATTTTATCTTGGAATGCTGGAGTGTCTTTGCTTCTTTAAGTTTAAAGCAGCTTTATTCAAATGCAGTCACACATCAAGTGATCTAAAATAAAGCTTTTTAAAAGTAGAGCCTGTCAAACACCATCTGGTTGTAATAAAGTAAAGCGGGATGGTCTCACCTGTGTCAGAGGACGGTACACTCTTGGTGAGCATGCTGTCTGTGATGGCATTAAACACACTGAGAGAAAACATCATCGGGAGGATGTTAAAGCAGAACTGCCACACATTCTGTATATATGCCTGTACAGAGAAATATCAGAAATAAACAGTTTTCAGCAAGGGGTTCAATGGCACATTATATTCATTGCTAGGTAATTATGTTTAATAGGGGTTGCTGTCACAACGAGTCCAAAGAAATGCCTGCAGCAGAACTCTAATGGGCTGTGCTATTGATTAAGTTTTTGCTCTGGATTTCTATGAGGATTTTTTTTTTTACCCATATTGTTCATATTGTTTCCTGCCCTCCTTTTAACTGTTTCTTTTTATTCTGTCTTATACTATTGCTCTGACCAACTTTGAAGGACTTTGGTCAACTTTGATGTATTATTATGTGCTATAGAAATAAATTTTGATTTGATTTGATGACACTCCCCAATTCAGCTGTGAATCCAAATATCTGTCTTAAGGGGCTTTGGCAGTGTGGCAAAGGGGTTAACTGATAGTGAGGCCTGTTAGGGGCAGCACCATGTACGAAACATGTAAATGTGGCTGTTAGCATATTGATGTATCAATTCAAAGCTCTGCTATGAATTGATACAGTTTTACGCCCCAGTCACAACTGGTGGTTACCAACCACTTGGCAACCACCAGTTGTTGGGGAAAATTGAGTATTTCTCAACTAGTTGTGAGTGGTTCACAGTCCATTGGAAGTCCCAGCCATGCAGGCCTAAAGCAGTCACCAAGCACTTGATATCCTCTGGTCACCGAACGCTCTCCATTTAATGTTTGCGATGGACATTTTCACCTTTCACTTTTTCAAGTTAATTAGTTGACATTCCTTCCATGCAAACTATGAGTGGCCGCAGTACTCTAGCAGCAACCAAACCAATCACAAAGAGGTTTCGGCTGCAGCAACCTGTTTGTGACGGATTTCACCCGGTGCCAACCAGCAATCTCAAGCTGTTGAACAAGCTCTTGGGCTCTTATCTGAGCTGCTAAACACCAAGAAACATGAACACATTCATAATAATAAAACAAACAAAAAATACCCTAACAAATTCACACTTGTACTTTTTTGAATACTTGTTCACCTGTATACAAGCACAATATCACAGAAGTTCAATACCAAGCAATAGTAAAAGTTGTAGTAAGATTTACTATTAAAAAAAAACCTCATGGTAAAAAAAAAGGGGGGTTAAAACTTTTCATTTTATTTGCATCAAACAATGGAAACATTTTTTTTTTTCATCAAGCTAAGACAAGAGTTTTGCTTCTTAAAAAGAAAAGCTATGGAGTACTTGAGTGAATACTTTCTCTCTAAGGGGTGTGTGCTTATGTTTTGTGCATACCTGAGCCAGTCCCACAAAAGAGGACACTCCAATGGATAGAAGCAGCAATGAATTGTCAGAGTATCTTGCCGTAAGCCGACCGATCACTCCTCCTTGAATAACCTGAACAAACATCTGGGTTTTACTCATTTCATCTTGCAGTCTGGTATAAGCTTAAGCTCAACCCCCCAACATATCACATACAGTCCATTTGAAAAGTTTTCAGATCCTTTAGAGTTTTCTACAAAAAAAATAAAAAGTGAATCTTTTAGTCAGTGACCACTGGCTTCTTGGTAATCTCTCTGACAAAGACCAGACTACTTAGCTTAGCTATATTGGAATATCTTGGACGACTGTTGGTGGTTCCAAAAGTTCCCCATCTGACAATAAGAGGCTATCACAGGTTGGGTTTTTTTAGTCTGACAACTGCAAGACCTTAAACAGATCTGTAAGTAACTTTCCTAATTCATGAATTCAACTAATCACAGGTCTAATGAAGTTATTGAAGCATATTGGGGACTGTTGTTTCATGTAGGAACCATCAGAGCTCAACCCCAAGTGCGAGCAAGGATACGTCTGCAAACACTGTGTTTTATTCTTTCAGTTGTTAAAGAAAAAAGAAAAACAAACAAAATACTCCAAAAACCTGTTCCTTAATTTGTCATTTAGTCTAAATTCAACAAGTGAATCATAAGTGAATTTTGGTCTGTAATATAACAAAACGTAGAAAACTTGAAAAGGCTAAAATGCACCAATTCATTTTGGATTTCAGTCTTACCATTTGGACGATGCCAAAATAGGCCATCAGGTAGCCATTCTGCTCAGGTTGCAGCTTAAAGAACTCCAGTGCAATGATAGAAAACATCACTTGAAAAATGCCTTCGAGCACAAAACAATTTTGTTAGATTTACATATGATTTATGATGACACCATCAAAGTTGGCTTTGTGTCTCTTTGTGGCAATTTAATTTTCTGTTTGCAAAATGTTTTCAGGGCTGCTTAAATGGCCTGTAAATGGCCTGTATTTATATAGCGCTTTTACTAGTCCCTAAGGACCCCAAAGCGCTTTACATATCCAGTCATCCACCCATTCACGCACACATTCACACACTGGTGATGGCAAGCTACATTGTAGCCACAGCCGCCCTGGGGCACACTGACAGAGGCGAGGCTGCCGGACACTGGCGCCACCGGGCCCTCTGACCACCACCAGTAGGCAACGGGTGAAGTGTCTTGCCCAAGGACACAACGACCGAGACTGTCCGAGCCGGGGCTCGAACCGGCAACCTTCCGATTACAAGGCGAACTCCCAACTCTTGAGCCACGATCGCTTAACTTCAGTGCTGGCCTAATATGCTGATTTACAATGTTACAGTTGTATTCAAAGGAGCTTGCAAAGAAAAGCGTCTGGACTTCTTTAAGTTGCTTGAAGACGTTTCACCTTTCATCCGAGAAGCTACACCTTGGCTCAAGATACGCCTTGGCTCAGGCGATTAGAGGATCATCAGGGGGTCCTTTTGTCCCTCTGTGGGGGGATACTCCCACTAGGTTTAAATCTGGGACTCCCCACCATTTGACGCTTCTCGGATGAGAGGTGAAACGTCTTCAAACAACTTAAAGAAGTCCAGACGCTTTTCTTTGCAAGCTCCTTAGATTACGATGACCTGGATGACTGAGAACCTTCACAGACATGTTACAGTTGTATTTATCTTGAAGTTATTCTTGGTGCCATTTGTCTAAAGCCTGCTCCTGTAAGGCCAACTTCCCTTTACACAAACTTGCTTCCAATTGGCTGCTCCTTGCAATTCCAGAAGGTCCAGTTGGGGCTTCTGTGTACTCTGCCTTGTTCTCAAATTATCGTGTTCACAAGGTTTTCACAAAACTTCAGGATTCAAACTCATCAGAACCTTTTAGTAGAAACACCTATGGTATCAATTTGAAACTCCTATGTTGCCTTTTTCTCGAGTTATCGCATTCACAAATCTGGGGGTCCATGCTGCCCACCTGCCTGCCCAGCAGGGTGATGACGAACCCCCATCGAGCCTTTTATAGCTGAGCCATCACAAGAGTATGAAGCCTGAACATTTGGCTCACAGATGTTTGACCAGAATTATTTAAAATTTTGTCCTGGTTTAACATGAGCATCCACAAATTTAGCTACATATTCATACCCATTTTAATACACATAAATGTAAATGAGCCCAATCAGAACATATCACCATAGGTAACCTCCAAAAACAAAATGGCAAAAAAGAAAAACATTTAAAGAGTGTGTAACTTAAACACAGTGATATTAGGAAGAGACACAACATTTGTATATTGCAAAGGCTTAAACCAAAACATCTTCACACTTCAAGTCTCACCTGATGGCAAACCTGCGACTATCTTGATAATGAAAGTCTGCATCACTGTTGGAAACTTCATCAGCCTCGTAATCTCACTCAGATTGAATACTGACTTTCTTCTGTTGTCATCTGAAGTAAAATCAAAGTGCAAGAGGTACAATTACCATCTCATTATGTGTTATGTGTTTCTACCAATAAGTCAAGGTAGGATAACATGTATGTAGAGAAGTCCCAGGGAAATTTCAGTGCTGCTCTCGGATGAAAGGTGAAATGTCTTCTAGCAACTTAAAGAAGTCCAGACAGTTTTCTTTGCAAACTCCTTTGACTACGATGACCTGGATGACTGAGAACCTTTACAGACATTCCATACCATGGCTTTGGATTATTTGCAACCAAAAGGTGACTCTCTCCAAACATCTCTAAAAATATAGATGTATTACCTTTTTTCTTTTTAAAATACATCTATATGGAAAAGAATGGCACACTGCAATTTTAAGCACATTTGAGTATGTAATTATGGAAGATGATACAGTAACACAACATCAGAGACTCAGTGGTATTCTGATAATAATCTACCTGGATTATTACATGGAATTTTAAAGATTGGCATCAACGGTTTGCTATGAGATGATCCCAAATGTGAAAGAAAGAAAAAAAAAGTAAGAGCAGAGTCATGGTTTTTTAAAGAAAAAAATAACAAAAACTATGTTTGAGTGCAGCTGAGAGTGACAAAATCCAGTTGAGTAATTTTTATGTGTGCAATGAAGACAGCTAGATTCAAATTACCAGCTCATCCCTGTTGTTGTGATCATGAAGCCAAGGCCACTTTGTACCTAGACAGCTGAGACCATTAGGTTGAAAAGAAGTAGGTATGTCTTACCTGTAGTGTTGCCTCTGGTTGTTTCAGCTTTTGTATTTTTGGGGATGAACTTTAAAACCAACAGCAAGCTGAAGGCACTCCCTGCAGTACCAAAACATGCAGTAAACTTCTCCCTGAGAAATACAAAGTAAAGGTGCTGTATGGGGGACACTTTTGGTAAACACACACAATGACTGAATTCCATGTTTCATAAAAGCGCAATATTCCAACCTAAGCCAAAATGTCTTCCTAAACCAGAGATGTTTTTTATTTCCTTTGGCTCTGTCAAAGAGTCAATGGTTGCTCAGGTTGGTTTCACACCAGTGCTGCTGTTAATGATACACACTGTGACACTAACCCATAGAGTTTGCTCAGCTGTCCGCCTAATGTGGAGCCAACTATCATACCGATGCCAAAACACAGACCAAGCTTGGATAAGGCGTCGGCCCGTTTCTCAGGTTTTGTAAGGTCTGTAACAACCATTTGTGATGCTGCAGACACAGGTGGGACAAAGAAGAAAATCAAGTGAAACTTGATTCAGGATAAATAAAATTAACATTTAGAATAAATCTGAATAAATGTAAAAATAGTTCAGCCACATTGTTAGCAAAGGATAAAAAAAACGGTAGGTTTGATGCTCACCAGGGAGGACATGCATAAAGACTGTGGGGATTTTATGGATGAACAACATGGCTGGAGTGTCTGCTGTGGCCAGCAGCAGAAAGAAGACAACAGTTGAAGCACATGCCAGGGACAAAGCTGTCCGTGCCCCAAATAGATCTGCAAACCTGCCAAAAAAAAAAAAACAGACCCTACAGTCACATTTTTCTACACTGTGTTCCGACTGTTGGCAAACAGTAAAGAGCAATGTCCAAGCAAAAAATAGCGAACAGAAACTCACCTTCCAAACATTGGGCCCCCGAGCAGCTGAATAACTCCAACTGTAGTTTGCAAATAACCAAACCACAACGTGTCGAAGCCGAGCTTCTTTGCCAAATACTATAGAGAGCAACATAAGTAAGTGACCGTTATTTTTTTGTGACAAGTGGTCACAAAACCGAGTAAAATAAATAAGGAAATTAAACACCATAAAAACAATACAAAAACAATTTAAGATCAAAACGAAAATAAAAATCATTAAAAGTATCAAAGAAAAGCCTGATTAAACTAAAAAAAGATTCTTAACTGGTTTTAGAAAGAGTCCACAGAGTCAGCTAAAGTTAATTGTTGCGAGAGACTGCTCTAAATCTCTGCCCTTTTGTATGTGGAATGACCATTAGATTCTGAGCCTGTCATCAAAGCCTACAAGCAGAGGTGTGCTTGGTAGAAGATAAGGCAAACAGTCCGGAGCCTGGCCATTAAGTGCTCTGTATGTGAAAACAAATTGTAGAATCTACTGAGAGCCAGTTTAAAGAATATAAAATGGTAGTGATTTGAGCTCGGCTGCTGAATGTGTTAATAGTCTTATTACAGTTCCCTTGCTTTATTGCTTTCGAAAGACATTAATGAGAATTTACCCAAGCCAGAAAACAAGGCATTACAGTAATCTAAGTGCAATGATGCAAATGCATGACTAATTTTCTCCAGATCCACCAAAGAGACCATATGTTGCAATTCAGAAATGTTACATAAATTAGAAAAAAAACAGGAAAAAGACTCTCCTGGTAAGATAGACTTTACTGCCAAAACCCAGAGAAGAATCAAATATTACACCAAGACTTTAAACACTGGATTTAACTGCTGAACAAAATGAACTAAGACCAGTTTAAGACGAGGTCATTGTTAGAGAACCAATCACTAAACAGTGGACTATCCAGCTGTTGGACCTTAAAAGACATGTACAACTGAATGTCATTAGCATAGAAGTGATAATGAGTGTCAGAAAATAACTTGTGTCTTGACAGACACAATAAAAGTACATCCTTGTTTATGCCAGTCAAGAGTTCGCATTCAAGGCCTTCCTTTTTTTTTTTTTTATTGATTCATAAACTTTAGAAGAACTGTGAACTAATACCCAGCCAACATACCAAGGCCAACATTGGGTAGATGTGGATGAACTGTGGGGGTGTGTGGGCAGGGCAAACCCACAGTCATCCCACCCAAGACCCAAGTGGGTGTGCTCACACAGGAACCACAGCAGTTTTGCCCTTTAGGGCCCCTGTATGGGTTTTCTAAGGGTAAGTTCACTTTCTGTATTGATGTTGTGGGGCAAATTTGCTACTGCTAGAAATGTGCTTAAGTCGGACAGCAGGGCCAAACCCCTAAGATCAGCGGGACCTTCATTTCTTTTCTATAGAACCATGAGCCAAAACACATCGCACTTCTGCAATGATAGTTTGGAAAAAAAATAATTTAAAAAGCAGAGAACTCCAAAAGCACCCAACCTAAACCCTACTGAAGCTGTTTTCACACATTAACTTAAGTTTTTTGAAAAATTTTGTCAGAAGCGTTTGTAGCACACAACATCACTACTGTACATATATCAGTTTGGGCGAGAGGACTGGGAGTGTGCAGGACACAAGACGAACACTTGTTTTCTCATTAGGGTAAATTGGCACAATATGATAGGGAGTATCTAATTTAATCTTGGCATTGTCACATGCACCTTTATCAGATTAAGAGAAAGGTTCAGAACTGCATTTGAGCAAATTGCTTCAGATAGTTTGGGATGAGCATGTCCTTGGAGTGAGGGTAAAGTACCCAAGACATGCTCAGCATATGTAGGAATTATTTCAAGACGGCTCAAGGTAACCTCATGAACACCCACAGCCATTATCACAGAAGTGGCTCCTTTGTCTAAACATTGTGCAAATATTTTTCACTTTGAAACACATTGGCTGGTTTGCTTGCCTAGTTCTGTGTAGGTTATCTCACAATTTAAATGGACTGTTTTGCTGAACAATGCAGAAACACTGTCACTGTGGCACTCACCTGGCCCGAGGTAGAGCTGCTACCAGTTCAAACTCTAACTTCTTTTTATAGGATATCTTTAGCAGCAGAGTCATGTCATGTAAAATGGAAAGTGGTGACAGAAAAAGAGCTAAATGCCAGGTGAATCAATTTGATTTAAATGGGTTGCATTGTGTTGCAGGTGAACATTGGCCTTATTTGAGGAAGGTGGTGCTGGTGTTAGAGTTGGTGGAGGTATTTGGTGGCAGCAATGAGTGTCCTGCTATGCCTTTTTGTTTTATCATATCTCAGCTTTGAGTTCAAAGTTGGGAAGATTTTACGTCACAGAATGAGAAGTTTTAGAGTCACTTATGTTTACTGCACTATGACTAAATGATGTGTTAGCTTATATTTTTAGATTATTATGAAATTTAAATTTCTGCCAGTTTCCTGCTGCTTCTTTTCCAAAATCCTTAATTTACATTTTAAAACATGATTATTTCCATTATGCCACATACATGTAGTTCTATTTAATCTATCACATTTAAAAGCTTATAGTTAAAAGGCGTTTTGATGCTTCCAATCATGTAATTTTGACTCCTGTTTCATGTGTGATAAGTGTGCCAAAAACTACAAATTTGTGCCCCTGGAAAGACAATAAAACATTAACTCATGTACAAGTGGCCTTTCTATGTGGAGCTTGCATGTTCTCCCTGTGTTTTCTTTCTAGCTTCCTTCAACAGTCCAAAGAAATGCATGGGGTTCGGTTAACTGGTGATTCTAAATTTGCCACAGCTGTGAATGTGAGTGACCCAAATTAGAATAACTGGAAGAAAATACATGGGTAGTATTCGATAATGCATTTCTATACTGCAGATTTGTTTTGTGTATCCAAATCTGTTGACTAACTTTATGTTTTCGATCACTGCAGTGGAACTAAATTTTCAATATCTGTTCTTAAGTATGAAATTTAGTAAAGATCCTAAGATTTAGCAATACAATACAACACTTTGCTACGTGTACATACTGGCATAGTTCTCATCCATACAAAGTATAAATACTGCCTATGTTCCTGAACAGCCACATATCTGCTGCTTTAACAAAGTGAATTTCACAAGTCTGGGACTAATAAATGTCATCTTATCCTATCTTATCTTGTCACAGTGATTAAGCACATTTCAAAGCAGGATGCTTCACTGTGTGTCACTGATATTCAGTGATATGAATACCCCTTCTCCAGTGTTTACTATAAGTGTATGTAATAGCTACTGTTAGTGTTTCATATAAGACCAGTGGTCATTCTTGCACTCTTAATTAAAACGAGATTTTCAGCCATAGCATTATCAACGTCAGTAAATCCAGCCTCAATCATAACTGTGCGCACTAAAGGGAATATAGGGACATTTCAGCTTCTTCTTCTTCTTCCCGTGTCATATACTCACAGGGGTTACTGAGAACTGTAAAAACATCCATGTGATATCCAAAGCGGCGATGAGATACACAGCGTAAATTGTTGTCATCCTCTGTGAATCGTCTGCGACATTTGAGGAAACAGAAGCTTTGTCCGTTTCCTCGTTTCTTTCACCTCTTCGACTCATTTTTGTTCCTTGCTGACAACAGCTGTAAAAAAAAACCTTAATGTGTACTCTCTTCAACAAAAGTAAACTGGCAGACAAAAACGTCATTTGATCTAGCGACCTCTTGCACAAATTGTTAGCCAACCGGTACTCTGGTTGTACTTTGGAACATAAAGGCGTTACCAAGTTTGACGTTAGTCGGTTATGAAGATAGTTTCCGGTCTTTACACTGTTTGGTCATCGGTACAGGCGGACCTATCGCTGTCTTTATCTACGTATCAGCCAGAGCAGCTGCTAAAAAAAACAGCAATGGGCACGTAAACTTCTATGAAAGAAAATCCTCAGGAAGTGATGCTTTCAGGAACTCCTTCTAGGCTCGTACATTAAAGCATTTTCGAGATCTGTCATTTTCCCTGTCTCGTTTCGAGCATAACATTGATGTTGTTTTTTTAATATGATACAAAACAACATATCACATGTCAAAACTGTAAGATCTTTTTTATTGAAAAATATATATTTGGGTTAATTTGTTTCTCGCTTTTTATAGCATTAGAGTTATTCAACAGTTAAGAGCCTCGTTTTTGTGTTTTATCATTTTATACTGTGCCAGTGTTTCAGTGAGAAACAGGTCTGTTGGAATATCTGCAGAATGGTTTTTGACATTCTCTTGTTAAAATTTGTGGAAATTGAGCTCCCAGTGCCATTCAAATGTGTTGTTTTATACATCACTGAGTTTGAAGTGGGAGGTGTGGTGTATTCATAATTGTCTCTGGTACATTTGTTGTATGGGCAGTATGTGTTCGTTGTTTGATTGTGTAATTACGCGTTACGCACTGGCAATGCATGCCGGGAGATGGTAATACAGTGAGTAAAGAGTTGGTCTTACCGCTCTACCACTAAAGTTGAGTGATGTAGACCAGCGGGACTATGCTAAAGTGAGAGATAGCTTCCACAACTTTTTCATTGTCAGGAAAAATGTTGTTTATGAGCGTGCACGTTTTAATATGCGCAAACAAGGGCCGAATGAGACTGTTGATGCATTCGTGACTGACTTGCATGCATTAGCAGAGCACTGTAATTACGGACCGCTCCACGATGAGCTGATAAGAGACAGAATAGTAGTGGGCTTGGCCGACACGAGGCTGTATGAGCTCATGCAGATGGAAAAAGACTTGGACTTGGATAAAGCTATAAATATGGCCAAGCAGTCAGAAGAAATCAAAAAGCAACAAGGTAAGGGCAGAGGTCACTTCCTGTTTTGGGAAGTAAGGTCAGAGAAGCTGCGCATGGTGACGGTCTAGCCGTGTAAAAGTCAAGCTAAGAAAGAAGAAATAAGCCCTAAGTTCCAGTTACACCAGTTTGTCTACTTGCAGGCCAAAGTGGTATGTTTGTTTATATTTTGTGAATTTTATATTGTAATATGTTTTAATGCTGAAATATAATTTTCTTGTACATTTGTATTCACCAATTCTACGGTGTACCTGTACGTTAAGAGAAGCACAGTAAACATCAGTAAAGAAGAACTCTCGTGTCTCTCGTGTATGTGTGCAAGCCGGCATACAAATGTAATGCAAGTAAATGCGAAAACAGCTGACAGAGTGATGCAAAAGCACGACAAAACAAAGTTCAACATGTTCAAAAATAAAACTGTCAAAACACAACAGCAATATAGCAAGAGACAAAGTAATAAATGCTACAAGTGCGGAGGCTCTCCACATCCGAAACCCGAGTGCCCAGCAAATGATGCAAAATGTCATTTATGTGGAAAAAAAGGTCACTACCAGCGCATCTGCAGACAAAGCAAGACAGTGCAAAGTATTGAGGAGGAAGAGGAGCACGGTTTCTTCCTAGGCTCAGTTTCCAGTGACGGCCAGGCGTGGACAGCCATCATACAAGTGAAAGATGCAAAAATCACTTTCAAACTGGATACTGAAGCAGATGTGACTGTACAGGGAGTGCAGAATTATTAGGCAAATGAGTATTTTGTCCACATCATCCTCTTCATGCATGTTGTCTTACTCCAAGCTGTATAGGCTCGAAAGCCTACTACCAATTAAGCATATTAGGTGATGTGCATCTCTGTAATGAGAAGGGGTGTGGTCTAATGACATCAACACCCTATATCAGGTGTGCATAATTATTAGGCAACGTCCTTTCCTTTGGCAAAATGGGTCAAAAGAAGGACTTGACAGGCTCAGAAAAGTCAAAAATAGTGAGATATCTTGCAGAGGGATGCAGCAGTCTCAAAATTGCAAAGCTTCTGAAGCGTGATCATCAAACAATCAAGCGTTTCATTTAGTGATGGGCAGATGAAGCCCCATGAAGCACTGAAGCTTTTCATCCAATTGGTTCACCCCAACGCGAAGCTTCATGAAGCTTCATTTGCTCTAGCAGGACACCTACTGGACGTAAAAATAATAGCTGGCATGAATTTGAAGAGTGTGGCATTTTGCACACAGCCTGTAAATGTCAACAACAAAAGGAGTGTGTAAAACATCTATATTGTAGTGATGGCAGTATACTGTGTATATTTATAGTGGCAGTATGGGAAATGATTATTTGGAAATGCTTGAAATGGAAATGATCATTTACTGTGAGGTGAGGTGTGGTTGGGGTGTGGACAGTAGTTGTGCTTTTGTAACGTTGAGGTATGGACAGCTACACACTGAGGCTTTGAGCCTCAGTCCTGTCTGTTCACATTTTATTCTGTAAAAACTAAATTTTCACTGCTTTTATGGCCTTTTTAGTGGGGAGAACATAGCTAGGATTTAATGATTTAACAAATCTTTTGAATCCTTTGTCCTCCACAATGCTAAATGGCTGGGAGTCCTCAAGCACCATGCTGACCAGGTCTTCATCTATTTGAGATTGTTCTCCTGAGGAAAGACAATAAAGACAAAGCACAAATATAAATATCACACACGTAACTTATAACAGTTGTATAATATTGTTATATCATTTAGTAACATTACTGCATGCTATATTATCATTGCATTTGATGGCTCACCTGGTCTTGCTCCACAATCGGTGTTCCTCTTATTCTCATGCAAAGCCCTGTAGTGCCTAAGCATGGATGTTGTTGTTATATCCCAGCTCCCTGGCACATAGCAAACACTTCACCTTGTACAAAAGTCAAGACAGCTCAACATAAATTGTATTGCACCATCAGTATCATGAAAATACATCTTCTGTAGAAATTTACATACCTTGTTGGGAGGAATAAAATCAAAATGTTCCCACACAGGGGAGGACATCCTCCTCTTCTTAGCTGGCTCCATTCTGGTAAATGGCCTGTATGGTAAATGGCCTGTATTTATATAGCGCTTTACTAGTCCCTAAGGACCCCAAAGCGCTTTACATATCCAGTCACCCACCCATTCACACACACATTCACACACTGGTGATGGCAAGCTACATTGTAGCCACAGCCACCCTGGGGCGCACTGACAGAGGCGAGGCTGCCGGACACTGGCGCCACCGGGCCCTCTGACCACCACCAGTAGGCAACGGGTGAAGTGTCTTGCCCAAGGACACAACGACCGAGACTGTCCAAGCCGGGGCTCGAACCGGCAACCTTCCGATTACAAGGCGAACTCCCAACTCTTAAGCCACGATTCTCTCCTGACTTTCCTCACTCTCATAAACCTCCAAACGGTCTCCAAACTCTCTCTAACCGCAACTCTCCATCAAACACCCACATTTTGAATGAAGTCTGAGGGGTTTATATCGCTGTCATATCTCGCGGCAAAGTTCGAACCACTTCATGAACCAGTCACGTGGTACAGCCGGGCAGCGAGGCTTCGGACGTCATCATTTTCAGCTCCTCCCATAAATGAAGCAAGCCTCGATACGCGCTTCGCGGAAACGCCCCCTCCATTACTCGACACATGCTCCGAAGCCTCGATACAGAACGTCCCATCACTAGTTTCATTCAAAATAGTTAACAGGGTCGCAAGAAGCGTGTGGAAAAACCAAGGCGCAAAATAACTGCCCATGAACTAAGAAAAGTCAAGCGTGCAGCTGCCAAGATGCCACTTGCCACCAGTTTGGCCATATTTCAGAGCTGCAACATCACTGGAGTGCCCAAAAGCACAAGGTGTGCAATACTCAGAGACATAGCCAAGGTAAGAAAGGCTGAAAGACGACCACCACTGAACAAGACACACAAGCTGAAACGTCAAGACTGGGCCAAGAAATATCTCAAGACTGGTTTTTCTAAGGTTTTATGGACTGATGAAATGAGAGTGAGTCTTGATGGGCCAGATGGATGGGCCCGTGGCTGGATTGGTAAAGGGCAGAGAGCTCCAGTCCGACTCAGATGCCAGCAAGGTGGAGGTGGAGTACTGGTTTGGGCTGGTATCATCAAAGATGAGCTTGTGGGGCCTTTTCGGGTTGAGGATGGAGTCAAGCTCAACTCCCAGTCCTACTGCCAGTTTCTGGAAGACACCTTCTTCAAGCAGTGGTACAGGAAGAAGTCTGCATCCTTCAAGAAAAACATGATTTTCATGCAGGACAATGCTCCATCACACGCGTCCAAGTACTCCACAGCGTGGCTGGCAAGAAGGGGTATAAAAGAAGAAAAATGTTGATAGTGAACAGATCAAAACACTGACAGAATCCATGGATGGCAGGCTTTTGAGTGTCTTTGCAAAGAAAGGTGGCTATATTGGTCGCTGATTTGTTTTTGTTTTGTTTTTGAATGTCAGAAATGTATATTTGTGAATGTGGAGATGTTATATTGGTTTTACTGGTAAAAATAAATAATTGAAATGGGTATATATTTGTTTTTTGTTAAGTTGCCTAATAATTATGCACAGTAATAGTCACCTGCACACACAGATATCCCCCTAAAAGAGCTAAAACTAAAAACAAACTAAAAACTACTTCCAAAAACATTCAACTTTGATATTAATGAGTTTTTTGGGTTCATTGAGAACATGGTTGTTGTTCAATAATAAAATTATTCCTCAAAAATACAACTTGCCTAATAATTCTGCACTCCCTGGAATAGCTGACTCGGACTTATCAAAGATTTTTGCTAACGAACACAGACCAGTACTCCATCAGCCAGAAAAAGCTTTGTTAAGCCCTGGAAAAACACCACTGGACGTTGCTGGTTTTACAAAGCTACAGCTCAACTACGGAGCAAAACAGTCAACAGAGAAGGTCTATGTTGTAAGAAACCTGAGCACTACACTGCTAGGCCTGCCCGCCATTACAGCTCTTGGCCTGCTGGTGCAAGTTGACGCGGTTTCAATGGACACTCTGAAGACTACTTACCCACACCAGGGCCAGTGGTGTTGGTTGAGGACATTCA